TCTTTAGTCTTGTAATTATATAAAGATTACCAAATACCCAACGACTTGATTGCCAGTTGTTAGAACTGCTCAGAATTCAATTTAAGTATAAGATTCAATTTAAGTGTAAGATTATTAAAAACCTATTTGAAAAGATTAAACAGATTATATGCTTTTGTTTGCACATTTTTAATCCAATTAATTACGTAAGTACTCTGAAAAAGTATTACAAAATATAAAAAAGAAACAATCCAAGTACACTTTTGTCTATTCTATCACATCATTTTCCACCAGATCGTTTCTTTTACCATCAAAACAGTTTATTAATAAGTTCGGTGTGTAAATCTTTGTAATAAAAAATCTTACGTTTGTTTGCACTGTCTTAAGAATTTTTAATCTAATTAAAATGATGGAGCAAATGAGTTTTCATTGTTGGTTTTTGAATTAAGAAGATATACAACATGTTTCTACTCTCATTTTTTTTTCTATCAATTTTTCTTTCATTATTCTCAATAGCTTATCGAATTCTTTTCGCAGCATAATGTTATTTCATCGCGATAAATAACATTACGCTGAACTTTTACGAACCGATAAATAACATTATGCTGAACTTTTTGAAATATACCGAACTTTTCTAAAAGCTTGAGCAGTGTTTGAATACAAGCTATTTCTTCCGCATCAAAAGGTATTCTTTTATCATTTTTATTGCCAACATTTATAAAGAAATGTGCCTTCACTTATTATTAGACAAGCTAGAAGAATTCTTTATGTGGATGGACGCTCACTAGGTTAGTCTGAAGCTCCTTCGTTTCTCACAGACTGAATGTGATCTGAATTCCAATTGCTATCATCCGAACAGCAACGCCGATTACGTGCATTCATGACTATATCTAAAGAAAGAAACTCCACGACTTTAAGTCAGAGTAGCAAAAACAAAAGAAAGAAAGAGAAATTATTGTATTTGGTAGTTTATGAAGCTCAAATTCTTATATTACATGCTTCTGCATGCTTCTATAGATCACGGTTTTATACCGTTTTCCCACATGAAGTTAAATGGTCAATGAAGAAGAAAAAGTTTACTTCGTCAAAGCGAAGAAAATATTTTTATAAACCATTCTCGTTATTCCTATATTTTATGATACATTTCAGTAAAACCTATCTGCCAATCATCTTCGTATGCTCGTTAAAATGAGAGGTTAACAGAGCTCACACTTTGTTTAGTAGAAGCAGTACATTAGGGCTTCGGGTAATCAATGGTTATCAGTCCAAATTAGCATCTTTACAAAATTATGAATTTCAATTTTAGATCATCTTAAAATGAAATATTTCTTAATGGAAAGTTACAGTTTTGATGCACCTAGGAAACAATGTGCAAAGTGATATAGCCTTTAATGAATTTTTTTAAAGACATATTTAAATTTGTAATTTTTGGAATACTAGCCTGATGAAAATATAATTCCGAAAGGCGTATAGTACCTTTCTCTGAATTACAGCTTTTCACCTGGATTTTGTAATTTACACGTAAATTAAATTAATAAAAGAATGAGCAGAATAGAAACTATAGTTAAAGGGAACTACTATATACTGCATAGTTACTATATAACTATGCAGTATATAACTATATAACTATATAACCATGCAGTTAAATTAAATTAATAAAAGAATGAGCAGAATAAAAACTATAGTTAAAGGGAACTACTATATAACTATGCAGTTACTAGAAATAAGTAAGAACCTGATACGTTATGTATAAGTTTAGCTGCAATTAAGGAAGTAAGGCGTTTTAATAAATATCATATTTTTGCTTTGCTTGTCTTGAAAGCTATGAACAAATAGGAAAAACATAAAGAACAGCTAATAACAAATAAAGTAAGATCTCCATAACGAAAAACTTCATAAAAAGCCATTACTGCACATTTTTAATGTCAATATTATTTTATTTTTTTAATCTCTTGCTATTAATTTTAAAGAACAGGGAGAGACTAAAAGTAAAATTCTTTCAAAATACTCTCGACTCTCGCCTAGAGTCTAACATGGAATTATTGATCTGCTAACTGTTGTACCGTAAGTACGCGTGAGAACGATGTCTTTGTTCCTTGCATTTCTCCCCCACACCTAAAGACGCTTGAGAGAAGAGTCTAGCTGATCTCCAGTCGACACAAGTTCCAGCTCGATGAAGAATCGTTGCTTACATTTTTAAGTTTGGAGGGTAAATACAAAAACCAGATCAGTACCGAGAAGTAGCTGAAAATAAAACGTGCCATGGCTAAGATCCGAATGTCCAGATTTGTGACGTGCCAGCTTGATATGCTACCTTTCACACTGCACTATCACATAGGAGGATATTTTAACGCCCAACAAAATTATTAAATCGTAAACTTTATCTTGTTTCGAACGTTCGGAATCGCTAAAATAGCATGTAAGATCTTAAACACCTAATACCAATATGTAAAAACAAAATTAAATGTTCTTAAATTTAATTTTCTAGGGTGATAGCAGACACTTCCATTCTTTTCTATTATTATTCATTAAACCTTTGATTTCTATGGTAATTTAAAATTATATTCAATCAATAAAGCGAATAAGAAAACGTACGTAATACTTCTGGAAATAGATAATAAAATACAAAATGTTAGAGCTTCTGCACTGTCAAAATAATATTCTGAATTTTCTCGATAGATGCTGAGCATGTCAGTCTGGATGTGTCTAGAACAAATACTAGACCCGACTTTACATTGCGTTCCAATGTTGATTGCCAGTGACAAATATTTCCCTGGTTCTGCCTCATTTATTCAGCTCCTGACTTTGGTTCCACCTTCAAACCTTTCAGAGACCAAACCAAAGACATACTAAACGAGCGAAGTTTGAGTGACTGCTTTTAGAGATTTTCTTTACCAAGGCTCACGATGCAAGGAAAATAATAAGAGGAAAACAAAAATTCTTTTCCTTAAGTGGCAACCTAAACGTGGAACATTTTCCTGTTTATTTATAAGTCTCCCCCCTTAGCTGGAACTACTTTAACAATGCCTAAGTTATCGAAGCAGAATTGAGTCATTTAGTGATTTGAAGCCCGTAAGCGCCTTGAAAAGTTCCGTTCGCACGCGATCTATTCTTCCATTGTCCCGTAAATTACTGCTTTTTGCTGCAAGGCGTTCCAATTTCCTAACGGTAATTGCTTACCACACTTTCTTTACTTTTTTATTTTAAAGTACACAATGGAGGCTTGAATATTACTTTAGTGGAATTTTAAGCAAAATATGGAATATAATCTTTACTGTACTTCGAATAACAGCGTTTCAAATCCGCTTGCTTAAAAAGAAGAGACTCCATTGATTACCGATGATTTCTTTGAGATATGGAGGGGATGCTGTAAAGGATTTGCAGTTTGATTGAAATGCTACCTTTCGAGGAAATATTTTTACTCTCTCTTTGATGAAGAAATTTAATTTGAAATCCAGTTGATTTCAGAAAACCTGATACAGTGTTATTAATTTTTATGATAGACATGTTTACGTTTCTGTTTTATATATATATATATATAACAGAAACGTATATGTAGAGAGAGATATATATATGTAGAGAGAGAGAGAGAGAGATTATTTTGTTTCCCATTCTCTCATAATGTATTTTTAACGTATTTAAACAAAATGCACATATCTTTGACAGTAAAAGAGAAATGAAATCAGCAATCTGGTGTAGACCCTCCCTTATCAATAACAGGAAATGGTTTGAAATCATGGGGGATAAACGAATTTTTACCTTTAATTATGGCGTTCCATTAAAAAAAAAACGGAGAATTGTCAAATGACCAATTAAAATTTTGAAACTGAACATAATCCTTATGTTCACATTACCTTACATTTTACATTTTTATTTTTCTTTGTTTTGTATTTTATTTATTCACTTATTTTATTCAATTTCATTTTATTTTATTTTTATTTATTTAGCTATTCATTTTGAACACATAACCCTATAATTTTAGTCAACAAAATGCACAGTAGTCTGCAAGTCACGTTATGTTTTATAACCGCAATAGCAATAAAAATTATTTAATTTATAGCTATAAAATTAGATAATTTTCACTCAGATACGCAAACTGTAATTCTCAAACAGTTGTTGTAATTAAAGTAGTCATTAAAAACTGCGAGGGATGAATTAAGTCCTTGAATAGAAAACTCTGATTTCCACAAACATCGTAAGAATAAACTGATTAAGGTAATATTTTTCAAGTAGTAGATAGCCATAACTAGAATGGTATTATTTTCACAATTCGCATATTACGAATCTTCAGTTTGAATCGATTTATCATAAAATCATATCCATCGATCTATGCGTACATGCGTTTGGGGAAATGAGCGGTTAAAATTATTCTTAAAGAAGTCGTATTACACGATTAAATGACAAAGTTACATTGCATAACGTTGTTCATTCGCTGAAGTATGTCAGCGGCTATAATATATATGAAAAGCATGTCCGCGTACTATTGCATTGGTACATTAAGCGTATGCTAGGAAAATCAAAGTCCATAGAAGTAGATGCCAAGAAAAATTTCAAGAAATAATAAGTCCATCTCTTTAGATCAGTCGGTCACTGTTTTGTAAGGAAAATTTAAAAGAAAGAAAAATTAAGCAGAACTTAAATTTTTTTTTATGTTTATGTTACGGTGAAACACCGAAATCTGGAGAATGTCGACTTTCACCGGTGAATGTCCACATTCACATAGTCGCTTGGTGTATGTCCGAAATATTTTCCAAATACTCTTATTTCTGACTTACACCGGTCAATGTCGACTTTCACCATGTACTAATGGTGAATGTTGAACATATAACAATATTATATTTTCTTCTCCGTAATTCAGTCGCGAATAAACGCACTTGAGACTTGAAATAAGAACTTAAGAACATGAGAACCTAAAACACACAATACATTCAAAATGAGAAAGGAAAATAATAGAAGTTAAAAACTTAATTATACAATACGTTCTAAACAAAAAAATAAAATAGCAGTAATAAAAAACTTACTGAATTATGTGATTCAAATCTTATTTATTGCAACAACTTAAACTATTATGGCACTTTATGACCTCTCTTTTCGACTTTCACCAGAGCATATCTGTGATTGTCGACATACACCGGTGAGGTCCGAATATACAAGAATGTAGTGAAATATTCCGTCTTTCACCGACGTATTTGGTGAATGTTGATATTCTCTGGTGAAAGTCGACATTCTCCAATTTAGGTCTTTCACGATAACATTTATACAATGAGAAGAAAGCACGGAAGGAAGTATTTTTCATTTTTAAAAGAGGTGTGGGGGAGTGGAAGATGATTTACGAAACCAAATAAATTACACCGCTAAAAATCTAACGGCGCATTCATGCACATCATCCTGTAACTAATACAGACATTTTTCTTCGTTTCTGTCCTCATTTCGAACAATGAGTAACGCTAGCTGTTATAAGTTCTCTTGTCAGCTCGCTGCGTATTTCAAATACATATAAAGCTTTTAAGTACTAATAAACAATGAATTGTAAATAATCCTGTCAACTATTGCAGCTATAACGTGACAACAACTTAAAAGTTTAACTTTGTAGCACAGTATTTTAGTTTTCGTAGATGGATGTGCAGACTGAGAAGAAGATGTTTCGAAACGGAGGGCTTTTTCTATGTTGATATAAGTGAAGCAACATTATGAAATGATGGATCACTAAAAGGATATCCTTCAAAAACTTTTATTGCGTCATTTAACATAAAAGGTGTGCTCATAAAGTAACCGAACACTATCTTATAAATAAGAAAAGTATATCTAACCTTCAAATGAATTTATCTCCTTCAAATGAAATTATATCCTTCAAATGAAATTACCTTCAAATGAAATTATCTTCAAATGAAATTATCTTCAAATGAAATTATCTTCAAATGAAATTATCTTCAAATGAAATATCCTTCAAATGAAATTATCTTCAAATGAAATGACCAGACAAATACGTACAATCATTCCAATATTTATACATTTTTTCCAGTTTCTTAAGGTCATTGAATTAGAGTTTATAGGCTTTCGAATTAACCGTTCGCAAAATACGTGTAACATTTGATTTAATTTCCGAGACGTTTCCAAATATTTGTTCTTTCATGGCATCTATTTTAATCTTCTGTGAAAAGAAAAAAAATCAGGTGGCGAGAAGTCGGAAAGATATGGTGGGTGATTTATCACTGCAGTTGAATTCTTAACAAGGTATTATTACATAGACAATGCTATATGCTAAAGCATCAAAGCGCAAAATATACCATTGCCCAGAATCAAAACGTTTCTTTCTAACTTGCCTTATTCTGTTTCTTAATCTAAAGTGCAGCTCCTTGTAAAAATATTGTTTTTCCAATTGATTTTCAGGGGCAGATTAATGTTAAATAAGTCACTTGTAATAAAAAAATCTGATGTGTACACCACATGACTTCCTTGTACGGAATATTAAATTATACGCATTTTTCTCGCATTTAATTTAAACTAATTGGATTGAATTAAATATATTTCATCGATAGCGCATAAACCACAATAGAATATATGCACTCTTTAAAATTTACTATATTTGTTTACTATAGCGACACTTTGGCGCTAGTTACACATAACAGTGTTGTATTTCGTTCATATTATAACTCATAATGCACAAAATTTATATCATTTGAAGAATTATCTAATCGTTGCCACATGTTCTATTCAAATACTATAATAAATCTAAAACGATATGTGAAAGAAATTAAGTCCCCCCCCCAAAGAAAAGAAACAGTTTTTCACAGACGATTTAGTATTTCTCATTCAAGTAATTCAGTGTTCATTTCAAGGCAAGGCAAAAATACATAAAAACTAAAAATATCTATATTAAAACTTACGAAGTAAATCTTAAACACTTATTTCCTCGAATAAGTTCCAGAATGGATTAAGCATGATTTAATTCGTAATAACAAAAGAAGGCGTTATCTTTGTTGTTGCGAAGCTTAGTTTCTATAGATTGCCAACAAATTGGCAATTCTGCTGAGTTTCAAATGTAAACAAACGTTGCCGCCATGGCAAAAATAATTCTCAGCAGGCCTTTTCGCTAATCTGAGGCACAAATCTTGCACAATTTTCCCCCATTTTCAGATTTTCAATTAAAATTAACAGCTTTCTTTGCTTATCCCAAACACGTCTGAAAATTGCTGATTCGCATATCAGCTGTTACCAAAGAACGATATTTCTTCCCGTTTTTCTCATTCTTTGGAGTTGAAGAGCACTCTATCCTTTGGTTCATCTTCAACGCTTTTGCTTCCTTCTTTAAAGTGGTTGTACCACTTATGCACTTGTATTCTTAATAACGGCGCATCACTACACGCTGTTCATCCCTAACGTTTCTGTAGCATATTTACTTAATTTGTAAGAAAATTAATGTTATAACGTTGTTCCATTAAAGTAAATTTTGTGTACGATGTCTTCTCAGTAAGCGAAAATGACTCCGACGTTTTGATGGGCAAACAACAAAATAATCTCTTTAAACTGGCTTTAACAAGAACTCACATGCCACTTTTTCTAAACATGTTTTTATTCTTTCACTATTTTATTTTATCGTTTAATTTTTTGTCAGGTTATTTTATAGGCGCATCTTGTATATTCAGCGGTCTTTAAAAGTACGTAAGTATTGCAAGTAAAAAAAAAAAAAAACTGACTTTAAACTACTCTTCCTTTATTGTATTCAAGAATAGAGTTTCTTAATATTTCCAGCGAACAAAAAATCTGAATACTCATTACAAAATTATTTAAGTTATCTATATACGTCCAATTGTATGTTTGTAGAGGTTATATGCGAGCGCATTCCTCTATATTACGTACGCTTACCTATAAGCAAATTTCTATCGGTTTCTTTGCTGTTAAAATGTAATGAACATTTTGATAAAACGTTTCCAGTAGCTTTCCGCAGTCAAAGCATGTTATTTCTAAAGCACTGTCTATTTTTTATCCCAATACCATACTGCATTAACTGTTCAATCTGACAGTTCTGGATCGATCTAACCTTCCTCTATCATTTGAAATCAAGTTATTTCAACTTCAGGCAACGTTACTTTGTCTGTTAAGAACTTTCCCGCCTTAAATAAAGGTCTGCTAAACCTACCTTCTGCCATATGAGGAGTAATAATATGTTGTCATTGGGAAGTTTGCTTGCCTTAGTAAGTAACTTCGCTTTCCTGTTTCTAACTCTCGTATTTTGAGAAATGGAAACTTGATAAATGAATGGCCCAGTAAAATATGGATTGTAACAGGGAGAACAAAAGTATCCCCTGTCAACGAGTATCTAATCACAAATCTAACAGCTTATTCCCTCGATTGATCATTTCGCTTCAAATCCTTCCATTATTATATTTGATTATTACCTCAAGTTCAAAAAGAGGGTGAGAATTTAAAACGAATATTCTCTTAATTTTTTTTTTTTTTTTATTAACGTGAAATTCGGAAATGTGTTTTTATATATTCACGTATTTATTGCTGATATACAGTTTGAAATAATTCCATTGAATTTTAATGTCTTTTACTTGGAATTTTAGAGAGCACATTTTTGTTTTTGTTTATTACTAGTAACTCTAATTAGTACTGAGCTGAGGCAAAATATCTAATGCATGCGTCTTTACTGACAAAACTTTTATCTAGCAGATTTTTTTAAATAAACCTTCTACTCAATTTATTATGATTATGCTTTTCTTAGTGTGCAATTGAATCACTGCAATAAATGTCTGTTTCAGACATAAGCTCAACAGATAGCTCATACTTGTTCTTTGACTTCTGCTTCAAAACCTCTTCTGTATTACAAGTTGCAGAGACATTAGGATAATTGAAAACCCAAGAGAAGCAAAAAATGAGCAAAGCCTTCGCCGGTAATCGAACCACGTACCTCTGGAATACGCGCACAGCATGCAAACCACCATACCACGAAGGTATGCTAAGAAGGCGGGAGAAATACATTATATTCTCCCCCTTTTAAAGAGAGACTGGGGTTTTAAAGGGGATCCAATTGCCAAATCCTGGGTGGGGAGAATCATCAACCACCATCCTTTTAGTTCGGGCGCTACTGTAGAATCAATAGATTATTTTTGAAATAGGAAGAAGGGAAAAATGAGCAACGCCTTCGCCGGGAATCGGATCACGGTCCTCTGGCATACGCGCCCAGCATGCAAACCATTACACCACAAAGGCACTCTAAGAAGGCGGGAGAAATACCTTATAAAGTTACTAAAGTATTTTTGTGGCAAAATAAAGGTTATTAAACTATGACTAATAAAAAAGATGTATGATTTATTTATGGTTTCAGTAGCTATACATTTGTGTAAATAAGAAGAAATATTTTCAACTCTAGTGTCAGTTTTCCCCTCGTATAAATACCGCTATTTTTAACATTATTTCTTAAGCATATTTCCTCATACGGAGGAAATATTTTCTTTGTTTTTCTTTTGAGTGTAATATAAACAATATGTTCCACAATTTAATAGTCGTTGAGAGGTTAAAATCACTGGTTGGTTGTAGTTTCATCTATTATTGATTTTCGAAATTGAAATTAATTTCATGAGCTTTCTTATGGTTTGTCCCACATGGAAAATGGCATCGAACTGCAGACAGCAGCAAAAGCTTACTAAACCGTGAGCATTGTAATATTATATAAAGCTGCGTTATACGTATGGAATCTTCCATAAATATAATCTTCTAAAAATTGATAGGCCTCGCTTATTTTCATTTTAATAAATTACCTACTCAGTACGACATTATGTTTCTCGAGTTCGTTCGGATTCTAATGTGGAAATATTTTGAGTAATTTACTGCTTAATATTCAAAAAAACCTTTGCAAATGATGCTTTTGTTACTGACAAACACACAGAATTGAAACAACGTAAACTCAGTTAGACTCAAGTAAATAGTTTAATTTAACTTGTAGAGATATTAGAATTTTTTGGAAGCAAGAGAGATGAAAAATTTAGCAACGCCTTCGCCGGGATTCGAACCGCGGACTTCTGGAATACCGGCCCAATGTGCAGAACCACTACACCACGAAGGCACGCTAAGA